GCTCTCTCCCCCCTCTGTTCCTCCCTTGGCAGTGCTTCAGCAGGTAGAGAGATCAAAGCAGAGAGGACCTCTGAGACGCTGTTGGAGGAGAGACAGATGAAGTCCTCTGTGCTGTGTGTCCTCTAAACACGCACACTTCATCACACTGTCCCGCGTCCTTGCTGTGTCCCGATTAAAAAAGTTTGACCTGACGTAGTTTATCTCGACAAGAATTAGTGTTGTTGCACTTATTCTGCTGATGTGTGTGTGGCTTCAGTTCAAATTAAAATTGAAATTTGTGTGTCTGTGGGGAATAATAATGTGCCAAAAACTTTTTTCTCTAATACGTAATAAGTAAAAAATATGTGAAACTCTTCTGGTCAAAACTGTAACTTGAAGTTTGAAACAAGCCGAGTTTGCACATTAGATATTGTGCCCATAACATCCGGTGGTGGCCGTAGTCCAGCCAAGAAAAGGGAATGAGGATTATTCATTCTATATTGAGAGAAAATTGTGACTCAAGGTCGGCCCCTCTAAGTTGGGCATTATGTATTGCTGCTATACTATAATAACAATCATTACTTTTACTGCAACTTTGCAGAAAGGTTTCCATTGACTATTGGTTGTAAATAACTTCATTTCTGTCAGTAAAAAGCAGTAAAACAATATTTTTAGAGAAATAGTTCATTTTAAAAATGTGTACAGTATATTAGTATAATTTTCACAAGAAATTGAATACACTCTCTGACTTTTCACAATTTATGAATGAAAGTGCTTTTAACTTTTCTCATAATGTAACATTACATTTGCATTACATTACATGTCATTTAGATCAGTGGTCCCCAACCTTTTTTACCTCACGGACCGTTTTCATGTCAGACAATATTTCGCGGAGAAGGTCGAGAAGGTCCGACGGAATAACGGGGGGTAGTAGTTGTTGCGGGCGGAACGACCGACAGGTGGGGGAGGGTGTGGGGGGGGTTGTAGCGCTCTGTGTTCGCTGGTGGCCGACGGTAAGAGGACAATTGTAAACGTGAAGAAAAACGCCTGGTGACGTGTGGGGAATATGTCAGAAGGACGAGCGCACATAATTAGTAGAAAAGCCGGTCAATTTTCAAAATGAAACATTTTTCAGAAAAAAAAATATATATATATATTCTTTCTGTGGTGCGGCCCGGTACCAAACGGCCCACGGACCGGTAGCGGTCCCCGGACCGGTGGTTGGGGACCACTGATTTAGATGACGCTTTTATCCAAAGTGTATTTCAACCAAAAGGATACAAATCCAGAAGAACAAGAAAGTGCAATTTCATCAAAATAACGAAACACAGATACAAAATGTGTCCTGGATGATATAACTAGCCTATTCATGTGTGATATAATGTCACATTTGTTTCTTAAATCCTGTTTTGTCCATAATTTTGGCATAGAGGACAGGTCAAAACATTAGAATACCCTAGAGCCTCGGCTGCTGTTGCCATGGAGAGGAGGCCAGTCTAGGGCACGACTCTCGCAGCAGCCAATTCAAAACACTTGGTTGTTAAAGTTAAGAGTGAATTATTTCAAGCTTGAGAATGTATTCTCCGTTTTTTTAATCCAAAAACATTTCGTTTTCACTTCATTTCAAGCTTGATGTTTCTTGCCGCAATGCAGAATGGAAGTCGCAGTGACTTTTACCTCAATGTTTATTTGCACATTGGAGATCAAAGAAGCAGATACTTTCTTAATCTCTTTTTAATTACAAAATAATTAACTGCAAAATGTCATGCTGTCCATGAAAAAAAACAAGCTTCATGATCCTTTTGTTAACATGTAATTCTGTTGAAATGTAATTGCATTATACTAAAAGGTATTGGTAATACTCAGTCACTGATATTCAAGCAATAAGGTACAAGAGGCATTACTATCGTCCAATAATGTAACAGTTTGCAGCTATTGTTACATTATTGAAGATAAAGTACTGTCTTTCAGCACAAAATAAAAAGACCGTAAATCCCCAAATGACCGGTTTCGGGCAAATCGAGCTTTCGGACAATTCAGGTGGACGTCATGAGCGATGTGAATGAATGAGATGATGCGAGATCTTGCAAGGAGACCCAATGCCTCTACATGCACATAGGGGGACTATTTTTCTCTAGACTACTGAAATGCGATACCCAACGTTTGGTGGCTGATACTATGTTGTGCTGAAAGGCAGCTATTTACTTACTATTTATAATTTCGCTGGTAACCGTATTATAAAAGCAATAAGTTACCTGAGGCAGTACTTTATCTTCAATAATGTCCTGCGCGTCAGGCCTAACAAAGCCCTCAAACTGTTACATTATTGGACGATAAAGTACAGCCTCTCATAGCTTATTGCTACATAATGTACACTCACTCTCAACCAGACCCAATGAAAATGCTGGATTGCATCTACCCGTATAATAAACAGAGAAGAGGTTATTGATAGAAACGTTTTGGAAATAAATGGGAGGCTTCCTGATATGACGCACTATAGTTCAACAACACAACAAACTGCAGCTTCTCTCAAATTGTTCATCATCAATCAGCTCACCATTACTGTACAACCTTCATGTAGATGAGATTCAGTGCAAGACTGTAGTAATAAGCATAAGTCATTAGTTATAGGCGCTTTTCTGGCAGCAGAGTCCCCTATATGGTTTATATTCTGCTGGTTGTGTTTTGTCATGTTTTATGGGTGATTTCGTAAATAGTTCCATCCAGGTTCAGGCGTTTCCCTCTAGCAGAGGCTGTAAATGCTGTTATATGTGGCACTGGTCAACGCTCTCATAACAATATATACCTATACTCTAACAATATATTTCATACAGTCTTTCAAGTGCAGACTTGTCTGCCAGGTTTTCCACTCCTGCTGCAAGAATCTTAGTGAGCACCGAAGAGACTTTGTCAATGTGACTATTTTGCATTTCGAAGCCTTTTGCCAGCCCCCAGCAATGCATGCCTTTTAGTCCCTGGATTGGATATGGCTGGCTTTTCATGTATTATGACTTAGCAGGTGCTCGGTGTGGCGAGTCTCTGAGGGATAGTCCACCACACACATTTTATTTGCTTCCATGTACAACTTCCAACGTTAGGCTCCCTCTTGATCACCGTCTGCACCGAATGGGAAAGCCGCCCAGCGATAACAGCACCTCCAGGAATGTCAGGATTACTTTCTATCAGTGGGTAGTGGCCCTCTATCGGCCGCTGATACATTATAAATCATTTACACGGTCATTTTGGAATGCAATATCCTCCTCTAAATGCTGGATTTTCTTCTCCATTGTTATTACAGCAAATCCTGCGGTAGGCGCACAATGCTGAGGTGGACCCTAAGCCACAGAAATTGAAAATTGATCAGGCAGTGGTGGAAGGTGTTGTCGCCGGCACCACAGGTTCCCCCCCGGGACTGTTGATTAGCATCTACAGCAGAGTGGCTGGAGGTGCTTGTGCTGCCTGTAGCTACAACTCTCCTATTCCCCTTTTCATGAGATCTGTTGTAGGAGCGAAAAGGGAGATGGCATTTAAAGTCCACCTTGTTCATGTCTATACCAAAGGGAAATGCAGCATGAAATTAAGCAGTGCATGCTTTTTATCATGTTGTTATGTACTTGTGAATGACTCCTGCTGATGGGTTCTACCCGTGCTTTCCCTGTAAATCCTCTTGCACATCTTCAGGGATCCGTTCATAAAGTTTGTCTCCAGGTTATTATGATGCTTCAGCACTCTGAGTTAGTTGAATCAAGTGGGTGTCTTTTTACTATAAAACCACATTTATTTGTTACTATTCCCTCACTGCAGCTCTACAGGAAAAGTGTGACACTGTGTGTTAAAAGAAATTATAGCCACTTGATTTCAATCATTCGGACGGCCGAATTCTCATATTCGCTTCAGATAAACTTCTATATATGTATATTTCTTCGCTATCCACCATCAAAGTCGTCAGGTTGCCGCACTGTTCACACTACACATGCTGTCGTGTCTCATCGGGATTTCTGGAGTCGTTGGGGTTTTCACACTACATGACTGACCGCCGACAGAAGGTCACACGCTAGAAGACCTTTCACCGGGAGGAATCACAAGAACTCTGTTGATGATGTTGCCCTTCAGCAGGAGCGTGCACATGACGAACCTGTCTCCACGCGTCTTTAACTATTTACCCAATGTACATTGGTCACTGTGTTAAGTCTTTGGAAAAACATCCAGCACCTTTATGTGCAACTCTGGGGCAGCTTGCCAACAGGTCCGGATACTCGTGGTAGATAACAGGAATTTGTCTGCGATTACGCTGTCGAGGCTCTTTTGGCACTCAAATTTGAATAGTTCGCACATATCACTTGAGCGCCGATGTGTCGGCAACCAGCCAATGCAGATTTGGTTTTCATCTGGGGCTTTTCACCAGGAGCTAAAAAAAATGGCAACTATGTTCATTTTGGCAAATGACGTTAGTTTTACGACATTGTTAACCAATTCTTTAACTATTATCGTAAATATTGGCCTTAGACAACAATTATGTACTGTCATTTGAAGCCTTTTACATTTCACTCATCCCATTAGCATTATTAGAAACATCTTGACGATTTGCCCAGCAGTTCATTGCAGTATACAAGACCAAGGCAGCTTCTTGATTATCTGGATTGACGATAGCACTGAGAGCTCTTTCATGTTTATGTGAGCTGTTTAATGTCCTAACAGAGAAGGACTCCTCAATAAAAATGACTGACTTCAAACAGTAGCTACAAACCGGTGGGCTGTCCGTGAAATGTCATTGACTCTTCTGTCCTCTTCTCTTGCAGCACCGGACGGAAGATCTGACGAGCGCAGGGAGGACAGCCAATAGGGAACTTGCTGTGGAGAGAAGGACCTGCTTAACCGCCACTGCTTCTCTTCACCCGCAAGCCGGCAGGCTCCAGTATCCCAGCCCATGGCTCTCTGTCAGGTGGCCGGACTGCAGGGCTGAGTGGGAAAGATCGTCACTGAGGGAGAAAGGGAGGGGAGGGAGGAAGGGGAGGGAGGGGGTCGCCCCGGATTGTATGTTGGTCATTTACAGTCACACTCGCTCTCAAGGACCATGTGGTTCTCTCTGGGGAGAGGTCGTGTCCCCTCGCAGAACTGGCTCGGTTCCCGCGGCCGCCCCGGCTTCGGCGTGTCCTTGTGGGTGCTGAGCTTTTGTTGGTGCTTTCCGGCCGTAGGAGGTCAGAACTACCACCCCACCGTGAACACGCAGTACGGCAAACTCCGAGGGGTGAGGGTGCCCCTGCCCAGCGAGATCCTCGGGCCGGTGGACCAGTATCTGGGGGTCCCGTACGCCGCCTCGCCAGTGGGGGAGAAACGCTTCATGCCGCCGGAGCCTCCGTCCTCCTGGTCGGGGATCAAGAACGCCACTCACTTTGCTCCCGTCTGCCCCCAAAATATTCACAACGCCGTGCCAGAGATCATGATGCCTATATGGTTCACCTTCAACCTGGATATAGTTACCACGTACATACAGGATCAACACGAGGATTGTCTTTATCTAAACATCTATGTTCCTACTGAGGATGGTGAGTGCGTCGAGTAAACAGGACGAAACCAAACCTCGTCTCCTTCTATTCTGCCTCTTGCCTCCTTCTCCCTCTTGTCTCTCCTCTGCAATTTTGTGTGACCTTCGTATTTGTTTTGCGCCGAGCATGACCTGTTGTCTGGCGCATGCCGTGTCTGTGTCCATCATCTCAGCCACCCACCTTGACTTGATCCTTCATTTAGCCGTTTCATCAACTCTCCCTTTCCATGCCACTGTTAGAGGTTCCTCTTTTGATGACTTAATGACTTATTAATATGACCCCCCCAAAAAACAGAAATCCAATCATACAAAGAGCAGATTGGAAATACTTGGTGCACTTTCCTACCCTCACTGTCTTGACTGTTCTGGGGAGATTAGCCATTAGAGATTAGTAGCCTGCCTCATAAGTGAATGATCTACTGCTGTAGGGTTGGTGAAATATTCTGTCTGGTACACGAGAGGCCTGTGGCATCAGCCTGACCTATGTAAGACCCTTTACTCTCCTGGCTTCATCTGGTTTGTCCTTGCACAAAGCTAGCGAGAGCAGGTTTTGTGCAAAAGGCAAATAATAGATTGGGCTCCACGTGGACTAAAACTCTTCCAAGACGTATGATGTTGACTCTTTAAAATGGACACACTATTATTTCACCTCTGAAGGAGGCCCACACAGGGAAAAAAAAAGGCTTGAAATTTTAAGTGCTCTGAGAATCAAATGACACTCACTTAATAGTCACACTCAGATTACAATGTGAACCAGAAAACGTTGTAAATGTAGCCTCTGCCTACTGTGTGGCTGTAACGGGTCTTAAATAGAAGTGCATGTGAATATGGGCTTCCTGTGTCTCAGGATGCGACAAATTCATTCCACCATTTTGGAATATTTCTGAAGCAACAGCCCAGATACTTTCTCAACAGGTCCTCTGTTGTCGTTGTTGATGATGACTGGGGAGGGTGGAAGGACGAGGGTAAAGAGGGTGAAGCGGTGGGGGGGGGGGGTTTACTGACTCAGAGTTGTTGCATGTCTAATGCGATCTTTTCCAGAGCTCTCTGTTATTTTGTAGTTTTTCCATTCATTTTACAGTCAAAAAGAATATCCAAGGAATGTGCCAGGAAACCCAACAAGAAAATGTGTAGAAAAGGAGGTATGTAAAAAAAAAAAAAAAAAAGAGAAATCCAACGCGGAACAAAAGAAAGGAATTGAGAGGGTGAAAGAAAGAAAAAGGAGAATGGGGACATCCTTCCCAAGCCGCCAATATCAACACCTGTCCACTCCCAAATCAAAGTGCTAATTGGGATGAACGTGGGCCTTCTGAGCCAGACCAACCTTGACACGCGTGTGAGTGACGAGGGGTTGCGTTATGTGTGTGTGTGTGTGTGCTGAAGTGTGGTTTTGCTATGAATATGTGTCATGGACCAAAATTGCAGGTCTCTAAGTAAATAATGACCCGTTGTCAAACAATAGATCATGATGTTTAATAATAACATGACATTTATTTATTCCTTTTTTTGGGGGGGGTTGTTTAGCTTGTTCATGTTTAAAATGTAATCCTATTTCATTCAAACACAACTGTTGATTGAATCAGAGGCATGAGTGCTGCTTTGAAACGCTAGAAGAAAAAACTTGACTTGGTGTACAAAGGACTTTAGTCATGTTTCAGGCAGCTCTGACAGCACTTAAGACACCAGCTTATTGGAAGTATTTGTCAAAAATGACACCTGAAAGCGTCGGCGTCTCAGCCGTTGATTAAATTTACACTAAAAAGTGGAGGGCCACCCTTTCTCTTGAATTTATGATTCACACTTGTTCAAACAGGGGGCTGGTGGGGTAGTTTATTGGCGTGACAGCTTTCATCTATCCGTGCGTCAAAACGCGGTGCAATTTCATTAGGGGCAGCTAAAATCTCATTGTTGGTGTAACAACAAAGGGATAATTCTCACCGCCGTCCTGAAGGCAATAGAGGACCTTACGAGTACGGCCTGAGGACAAAGAGCATGTCTCGCTCCACAGTAAGGATTCTGTTTCAGACCTCCGCCGTTGATTTCCATGGAGGCGGGAGGCAGCTATTGGCCCCGATCATACATTCTGTTTCGGTAAACCAATTTTGTCAGAGAAAGACTGGCCTTCCAGGCACATCTGCTTCCGAGTTAGTCCCAGTTGTGGAATATACACAGAAATATCTCTTTAATACTCGCTGTCCACATGGAATTTTTCAATTATGTCCCCTGTGTTTGGTAATGAGAAAATGGTTTATCGTGAGTTTTCTATGTTGGTTTTGTCACACATTACTGTGCAGAAACATGATTGCTGCACGGTTGCTTAAAACCCAAAGGTTGCTGAAAACTCTTTTTTTAAATTTCAATTACACCGTTTTTTTAAGTGCTTTGACTAATCTTGGCTTATGTTGTATTAGCCTTCCAAATTAAGCATAAGTTATCTTTCCGGGTTTTTTTTTTCTTTGGAAAGTAAAATTATTGTTTTTTAAATTTCATTCCAAATGGGTAACAGAATGAATAACTTGCTGCTTGTTTCAACGTTTTCATTTCAATAGTTAAATCCGAATTTTTATATGTGTGTGTTTTCTATCCAATGCTTTTCAATGCTTTCAATAGAGACTTCTATACGGCAGTAGAGTCATATACACATACTGTGCATGTCACGTACTAATAAGACCTACACTACCAATTCTGCAATTGACATATGAAGGAACTGCTTCTTCTAGAGTTTGGCATTTGGCTTTTGACAAAACGGTTGTGTTACTGTTGCCATGCAACAGTACGCAGTTGTGACAAGAGTAAATTGCCCCTTACCGAGAGTGAAGCACCTTGGCTGCACTGTTGATGCTTATCAAGTGAGAAAGATACTGTACGTCACCCACGGACCTTGTAAAATACATCACATGAGGTTTCTCTGTTTCTGACAAGAAGCCAGTGTGCGATGATTCGTGTAGAGCTTGTGTAAATCTAGAAGAGTACTGGTAAGAATGTACTGTATATGTAGAAATGATTCTCAACTCACCCTGAGGTTTGAACATTATTGAGTCCACTTTACAGACTGTGTGATACTACACCCTGATGGACATTGTGAAGCCACTGGATATCAAAGATGTGGGTCATTTTCTTCTATTAAAAAGGAGGAAAGCTCTTAAACCTCAGAGTCGTGTCCTGGCAAAAGTTGAAAGACACACTCACGATGGAAGGCTCAACAAAGAATTGTAGTAGTATCTATTTTTTGTATAGTCAGTTGGTTTCAGATCAAGAGGGGTTTTTTTGGGCTAATGTTGCTTAAATCAAAAAAATGAAAATCAACAGAGCAATTTTCCTATTTTCTGAAGCAAATCATTGTTTGCACTGACGAAAATGCAATTTGCATAATGGCTGTCCCTTCTACCTCCTGGAATAGTGCAGCGCCGCGTGTCCAACATGTCCTCATAGGTCGGCTCATTCGCAAGATCAACGCTGCAGCGCATGAGATGACAGCGATTCATGTTTCTCTTACACTTATGTTTGGTTTGGTTTTGTTCCAGCGATCAGTTGTTATGGACCCTGTATAGCTACTTCAATGTCATATATGCTCGTTGCCATTTCTGTGGCAGTTTTTGCATCTGAAGTGGCCGTATAGTGCACAGAGCGGCGGATATTGAAGCCTTGGTTTTATCTCTCAGTCATTTTCTCCTCTCTGAGTGAGAGCGAACGGTGAAGAGAGGGGTAATGATGTGCAAGGTTACGGCTAAGCATTGTTCAGCCTCAGAGTGCTGGATTGTCAATTTTGCGAGGATTCAACTTGATGAGGTCAATCTTTGTCTTTAAAAAAGTTTGACATTGTTAAGTAGATTGACAGACTGTGATCTGTGATCTGTGATGTTCCCACGCTTTTCTGGAGGTCCTCCTCGAGGTTTTGGTGTGATGGTGAACTCACTGTGCTGCAGGGTGCCGGTTTGTGAAATGTGAAAATTATTTTTCACGGGCTTCTACAGCGGTTCTCTTTCACCGTCCGTAGCCCTCTTGCAGAAAAATGTCCTAAGAGTCCTTCAACCCGGTCTCTCTAAATTACACAGCCTCTGAGAGACCCGCCGAGATCACACTTCCTGACTCCTAAATTCATCCCACCATGGGTCTATTTGAGATAAGTGCAACAGAAATCTGTTGTACATTTTGGCTTGATTTGGACCACTCAAATATCGTTCTTATGCAGCCCTCACAGGCAGCGGTCTGCCATGTGTTACGAAGCCCGCTGCCAGGCCTGAGCACCGCCGCCGGTTGCCAAAACCTGTAGATTAAGCACCCCGGAGCAGAAACACTGGACATATTTCCATTTTAACAGATGACCCCCCCCCCCAGCCCCCCCGCCCAGATGCTACAGAGCTGTGAATGACAGGGCCCCCAATCCTGGGGAGACTGCGTCTGGGCCGACGGCAGTCAGTAACGCACCATGCTAATCCCGTTGGTTGGCCCGACTCAAGCCTGCTGGGGAGGAGGAGGAGGGGGGGGCGGTGGGCGCTGCTCCCCGAGCGCTGCCGAGGAAATCTGTACGCCAAGCAGACAGCACGGAAAAAACTTTCCAAGAAGACGAGAACAAATATTGGCTTGTGTGATTTGAAAACAGAGCAGATGTCTGCTCTTTTGTTTGACAGAAAAGGACTTGCATGATCTCATGTGATCATCTATCTGGGGCGGTTGATGACCGCAGCGAGCGAGGGGGCTGTGACCAGCCGGGGGAGGGGGGTAGGGGGGTCCAGCCACTCTGACTTGAGATTCAAGACGCGACCTAAGCAGGAAGTCCCTATTCAGAAGCCTCATGCCGCTGTGCTGTCCAGCTTCCCCAGTCAATCCAAGGCTCAATATCTCTCTTGTTTATCCCAAACCAAAGAGGAATAGAGGACACAGCCTGTGGGGTCTTAGAGCCCTGTTAAATTGAAAACACAATTTATTTGTTGATGCAGGAATCTGTTCCCGATCCCCTATTTTACCTTTTAAAACAGCTTAACAAATGTCTAATTTGAAGCACCTTGACATAAAGGTTTTGCACACAATGTAATTCGGGCTAATATATTTGGTATGTCTGGAATTTTTTGGCATTTGGCATTGAGGCTTAGTGGTCCGACGGATTTGACTTAAACAAATAATAAAAAAGGACATTAACTACACATTTGGTGTTTGAAAAAAAAACACATTGTTGCATCCCTGAGACACAACCCGTTCTCTGAGAACGTTTGTGCACTGATTCCTTTTAATTCTTTTAATTGTGCGGCATTAACATCCGTGTTTGCTTGCTTTCAAAACTCTTCTTCACTGCCTTCGGCGGTGTTTTGCTACTTTTCTTGTTGTGTTACCACCACCAACTGCGTTGAAGACTACATACCTGCATTGTTCTGCTTCGGAAATCTGTAATGATCCAAACAGTGTTCACTAACTGCTGTGGTGCAGCACACATTTAAATGACAGTTTTGTCTCAAGGAAGATTAAGAGGCCCGAAAGCCCGGTGAGACTTTTGTTTCTGTAAGATGTTTGTTCAGCACAGCCTTTTTTCTGTTTCTATGGGGAATAAATGGTTCATTAGGGATGTGGGACAAAATAAGACAACCCAGTGAGTCCGACTGCCACCCTCCTCAGTAACCTGTGGTCTCTGTTAAACACGGCTCTTTCTTGCCTTCCATTTGGTTCTGAGTTGTTTTTTTTGTATTTTGGGAACAGCTGAAGCACAGTGTGAGTTTTGGCTGTCCTTTACTGGAGGATTACAGCCTCCTTAACCTTTTAGCTGCATTCTCCATCATTCTCTCTTATGTGTCCCTCCCAAGCTGTTCCTTAACCTCTACACTGAGAGACGGATCGAGAGAGACGGAGACGGACCCAGAGAGAGAGACAGAGACAGAGAAAGAGAGACGGATCCCAAAGGTCTGAAAGAGAAAAATGGTCACCTGAGGATTAGAGACTGCATATAACTGCTCTAAATTTTCAAGGCTGCAACATTTCACATTTCACTAAGTCCCTTTCCACATTCTGACCTTTCTGATATTTAACTCTGAGGCCCATCTATTGTCAGCGATCCTTTTTCCAGCAAAAGAAAGGCAGTTAACATTCAGCCTTTCCGCAATGTATTGAGGGATTCTAGAATTCATTCAAGGAGTCTCTGGGGTCTCACAGCCCTCTATATCTTTGTGTGTGTATGTGCTTGTTTTTTAATGTAAAACTCTATAGCCAAATACTTGCATCATTTGTTTGGATTGAGATGAACCTTTAAAAGCCTTTGTGTAACAACTAAGCCCACTGAACGCAATTTCGTTTGAACCTGATTTGATAAATGCAACAAGCTTCTATTTTGCTTGTCACGGAACATGAATAAATGTTATTCTAGAGATGATAATGTCAACTCCTTGGCAACACAACTTGTTAATGCATTGTAGTTTGATTTTAATGTCACATTCTTTTACTACGGCATCGCTTTAAAAGAGTCAAGGTCAAATGTGGGCTTTTTTCGCTGAGTCACAGAGCGCGTTACGTTTTGAAACTCCTATTATAGATCCAGCGTTTGAAACACGCAGGCACACAGACAACAGAATTCAAAGTGACGGAGCTTCCCTGTCGCCACCGGCCATCCCATCTATGGCTGGCTGGAGCACTTGATACCACTACTGTTTTTCCATGTCAACAACACAGTGAGGCTAGAAGAACCGTAATCCCTAACATGCCATAAAGACGCCCGTTTCAGCAGGTGAGGCGCCTTTGTTTGGGTGCTGGCTGTTATTCTGTTAAAAGATTTTTTGTCGGTACCCTTACATCTGGTAGCTTTTAGGCAGAATGAATAGGAAGTCGCCTGCAGCTGACCCCTAGAGTTACTCTTTTTTTTTTTTTGGAACAATCTTTTTCCCGCTTGGCGTTTCGCCTCGCTATATTTTAATATTGTTTTCTTGGTGCTTTGTCGGCCATGTTGGTCGGCTCCTCTCGGGTGCGTGCGCTGCTTACAATGTGGCAGGTGGTCGCTACATTTTTATAGGGCCCCAGAAACGACGTAAACACAGCACAATGAGAAAGTAAAGGCAACGTGCAGGATCCCTGCAGATACAGGCGCTGCCGTACACTTCATAAGGGATGAATGAGAGGGATGTACTTTTGTCTGTTTAAAAGAAAATCAAGCTGGTTCTGCATTCATCGGCAGTCACTCCCTGCAAGGGGAGTGAGCCCTGGTCTGACCCGTTGCTGCTGTGAAATTTGTTCAGCTTTAAAGCACAATACCTGCCAAACACGCAGGACATTTTTAGACTGACAACAACACAGACTCATTATTCAATTCAATGAGGTCACTTCGTTGGGAGGTGTGCCAATGCAGAGGGCTTCTGGCTCTTTGGTTTGGCTGCAACGATATCCATCGCTATTGGCGACTTAAATACCTGCTTTTATATGTGTACCTGTTAATGTGGACGCCATGTTCTGCCAGGTTCTCTGACCAAAGATGAAACATTCTAGAGTTGTAAAAGTCCACGACCAGATACAGCACACCGCCATCAACTCAACCGCTAATTTCCACATGATGGACTGCCGTGTTTTAGATTGATTGCCATTCCTGTGGTATCACATGCAAAAAAAGTTATTGAGTATTGTATATTGTTATACATTTTAAATACATTCATACGTACATACCTGGCAAGCAATTTACCTGCCACTTTTCACTTCCACAACTTGCTATTGCAACATCAGTCTGAAAGCCTGCTTCAGTTATATAATTATGTTTGCTTGTCTGAAGCTCATATTGCTTCCCATACAGACTGCATTATTCAACATGCCCATTCATTCGCCTGGACAAGGTCACCGCACAGACTGTGGAGTCAACAAATTCGGGCTTCTCCAGTTAAGGAGCATGAATTTACTCGGTAAATGTCATGAGACCCCGTCTGTTACATAATACATAATAGATTCCATCTTTCAATTAACAATGGATGAGGTGGTCAAACAGAGAGGTGCATTCATTAAAATATGAGCTGTTTAACTGGTGCTCGTGTCAAACAGGTTGGCTTGCCCATATGAATGAAATATAAAGACTTAGTGACTTTTAAGGTATTATTATATTCAACAATTAAAATTGTTGTAATTCAAAGAGCATCATTGGACTCGGGATTCAGATCTTGGCCACTTTGCCTGAATAATCCCCGACACTGCCCTGTTTCTTGCATTATCTTCTAAGGTCCATAATTACTCACATCTTATTTAATTGTACTGTGCTATTAGCCGTCTTAAGGAACATGGTGATACTTTGGTTTAAGGGTAAAAAGTGTTCTCCCCCAGGAAATTGTTTAGCCTTCGAGGCATCTGTATCCTGATGAATTGTGTCCCGTGATCAATATCTTTTGAAGATGACGGCTTGATCAACAGCCACATGATGTGAGATGAGTTTGTATTTGTTTCAAAGCTTTGAAAAAGTCTTGGCATCGTATGGAAATAATGAATGCTTCAGTAAATTCCAGTAAGTCAGCCCATTAGATTTAGATATTAATTGGTATTCATAGAGGCCTAACGATTGCACCAGAGGAAAAGTCCAAGGTCACAAACATATTAGTATGTCTCGTGTTAAGAATCGCTCAGGGGGAAATGTAAACTGACAGGGGTGGTAGATGATGTCAGGGCTACTCAAAAAAATAACATCTTTAAATTCTTGTCAGGAGATGATCAATTGTTGAATGCATAGACTGATGGCTTTAATCAACTGCCAGCAGTTCAATCCTCAGGGATGGCTGTTAGTGGGCTATATATGGGATTATAGAGTGATGATGTATAGATATGCATCTAACCAGTTCGGAATAGCGTTCTCTGCGTGAACAGCAGGTTTGTTCATTGTATTTGTACACGGTGTACATGCGCTCAAAGGGCTTTATATATTTTCTAACCAACATGTTGCGCGAGGACAGCTGCATATTACCTACTGTTTACGTCAAAGAGACACGCTAAGGGGGCTAAGTACACATAATACACGCAGTCTTATGATTTATTCAAATCTCTACCTCCTCCAGGGAAGTTGCAGCGGTTTGCGTTTTTTATCTTTTACTTTAAAAACTCTGTTACATGCTTTCTGACTATTATGCCCTTTAACTTGCCAGTCACCAGATTTTCCTTCTCTTTGCCTTTTGATGGTCTTTGCATAGCCGAGCTAAAAAAACAAGTATCGGTGCAAATTCCGTAGAGAACAAGTTTGTACGGTCTTGTTCGTCAAATCCCTGCTCGAAAAGCCAAAATGATTCATTATTTTAGAAAATCAGCTAATACTGTTGTTACCAAACTAACTTATAAGGATTCAGTGCTTATGCCTGACAAATCTAAAAAGAAAAAATGAAACTGCCAGTGGTGTATGACTCTTCTCTAAATATGCTATGGTATGTTTAAGTTACCTCACATGTTTTTATTTCTGTATTTTGTATCGGTATATATCTGTACTCTTAATATAATATTTTTTTTATATGTGCATGTGCTGAGAGCGTTAACAAGAGATGTCCTTGACGAATCAACTTTCAAATTTTCAAATGGGAAACGTGTATTGGAATTAACATTGTATATTGCTCCCATGTGGTCTCAATTACTGATTCGTATGGAATGGCCCCTGTTGCCATCTGTGTGTTGTCAAACATGCTATTTTGAATTTCCCTGTGCCTCTCTATGTCTCTCCCTGCTTCAATAACAGGAGCCCATGCAAAAAAACAAAGCGAGGATTTATCGGATAACGACGGTGATGAAGATGAAGGTATTTTCCATGGTGAAGAAAGATGGTGCATGACTCTTCCCCCCCCCCCGTCCCCCCAAAAACGATACCGTTTTCTGATCATTTATGTTTTTTGTTTAGTTTTGCATATTTCTATTTTTATTCAGTTCCTAATTGCGAATGCAATCATCAAGCACCCTTGTCACATTGTAATCCGTAGAACAATGTTGTCTCCGATCGAATGTTTTCGACTGTGTGAGTGAATGTGAAGTCTCTTGTGTCGAAGCATCAAAATTCAATCGATCGCTTGGATGTTTGGCTTCAGAGTCAGATGGGATATTGTAGCTTTCAAGATAACCAAGCCCGGATTGACTCACTTCTCACATGGTGACTCGAGCAACATGTGACTCCCCAGGGCAGAGGCAGTGGTGAGAGTCCCTTCTTAACGTTTCGCCAGCGGCTGTCTTTGCGGTTAGAATGGCAGTGGAAGTGAAGGAGCCGTTTAATATCCGAATGTTCACCGGGTCCGTCAGCAGATTTAGACGATGAGCGGCAGTTGAGGAGTGCTGCTGGAGAGGATTAGAGGCCGAGAGGTGTAGCAAATGGGAAGTTGCTGCTCAGCAGTCGCATTGTTCACTTTCCATATTTATCTTGGGATATTCCTGGCTCAGGGTGGATCTCTGCCGAGATTAGAATGAGAGACAATTCTTGTGCTGCAACAGAAACGGCTTAAGTCCCTGAATCTAAATCAAACCCCTTGATAACGCCCTGCCCTTGTCTTCATTTTCCACAGTAGGGCAGGTGATGCAAGCATGATGTTGCGTATCAAGATAAAGCCATTGGTGCACACTCTAGTTTGGTATCAATGGATTGGCTTTTTTGCAGAACGTGTGTATTTAGTGAGAAAGATTGTGCGGCTGTAGCAAAGTTAGGTATCGTACGCGCGCTGAGGGCAAAACGGAGCTTCTTCCATGCGGGAAAACTGGCAGCTCACATCAATTTGTCAGTTGTGGATGTTGGCTTGCTAATCCCCGGCTTCGCTGTGGGTCCTGCGTCCGGTTGTAGAACAGCTGTAGCCCGGCTGGCCACGCTCCTATCCAGATGCTTAAAGGTTCGAACTGAAGCTCCTTCTTCATTGCCGGTGGGGTGGATCACAGATCAGGAAGCGTTGCCATGGCACCCCTTCGACACGCAGGTGTTACTGCATTCAAGCCCACGTCGAGCTCTTTGCAACTGATGCCAAATTGCCTTCAGCCTTTGTCTTAAATGCGTGTGCAATTACACACGCGTGTGTATGCGTGTCTTCCCTGAAGCGAGCCCACGTGCGTTGCTGTACGTAGCCCTAAGTCCGTTCAAAATCGCTGACAAGTGCCGATCCCTTTGTCTGGCAAGTCTTTGCGTGCGCTCACAGCGGCTTGGTCTCCAAGCTGTTGTGCAAGACTCGCCTCACTGAAAATGTGACAAGTCTATTCTTTACTGAGCGCGACTAATGCTATTTACAGAGCATCACCGCAGAAGCACAATACGGTCCCAACAGAATCTCTGCCACAGTGCTGTAACTAATGCATGTGTGACAGGGTTGGCCATCAATCCCTAAACATGATACAGACGATTTCCGGCGTTCAGGGTTATGTGTCTGTTTTGATGTGACATGAACCCTTCTCATGGAGTCAGTGTTCAGTTACATCCCGCTTATTCCCCCCCCAAAGAGGCCTGTTACCTCTGTGAGACTCGTCACAAAGTCCTTGTAAGCTGTCTGACACACTACCACACTCAATAGTGGCTGTACTATTACTGCGGCTAATAGCAATCTCCTTGTCGACAGTGAATGCACTGCACGCACAACTAATAACAGTCAAACATTTGTATTCAAGTGAAAGGCCAAGTAGAATCAGAATACAGGCCGAACTCCCACCCCACCCCCCCCTTTCTCTATTTAGCTGATGCACATCTTATCCACATATTCTCATTCTGTCCAGAGAGCTGCTGTCTTGTCGTGTTTCTCTGTCTAACCCCCTTCATCTCTCAGTCTGTTCATCCCAACATTGCCATGCTGTCTCAGTTGGCATTCTGTCCATCCTTGGCTCCTTCCCTCCCTCTCTGCCACCATATTTGAGCCCCCCCCCCCGCCCCCCCTATAAGTCCCTTAGTGTGTCCTCCATTCTGTCTGAGCAATAGTCAACCGCGACCCCCGCAAACTCCAAAGTGCATTCAAATTTTGAGCACAACACAAACGTGTGGGCCAAGTTGCTGTGATTTACATCGGCCCACAATCAGGACTCAATTTTACAGATGCAGTTATTGCCCTGTAAAAAAAACAAAGGAAACACTTTCAATCAACTACCTGCTGTTGTTAGATAAAGGTAGGAATGTAAATAGCGTGAGTCAGGCTGTGTAGGAGCTAAATCTCCCAGGTGGAACATGGCAATGGTGCCGAGCTTCTGTGCCCAGTGTGAGGCAGAAAGAGCCAGCCGTCCCTACTCCACCTCTAGAGTGTCTCGCACCGCTGCTGCCTCGGCCCTCTTCCACTGATGAAAAATAGATGTGTGTGTGTGTGTCGGTTGTTTGGCACTCTGAGACTCCAGCTCTAATCAGGAGGAATGCCTCCATCCAGGGTGAGTGTGCACACACTCAGACATGTACACCCACATCCTCTAAACAAGTGAGGCGTGCGCGTACACACACACACACACACAGTTGTATACACGAACAATGCTATCGCCCAAGCTTTAGAAGCATGCACTGCATAGACATGCAGACACACGCACTCTCACACACCCACCTCTCCGTCGCTGCTGTGCCAGGGAGCAGAGCTGAGCTCCACCTGCCTGGGAATTACCATTAATTCCATTGCACAGGCCTGACTGGATCCCAATCCAGCAAAGCCCTCAGCTCAGCTCAGGCAGGCTGGAGACTGGTGAATCGACAGTGGGGGCAATTCACACACCAGTCTCCCCGTTCTGCCACTGGCCTATTCTCTGTGTCGTGGCATGAATGAGGAATCATGCCCCTTTGACGCCCATTTATGCAGAGATATTTGGAATGCTGCAGCTAAGCTTTGCTGCTAATGGCGGATCCACAAGGTTATAATTTGAGACATTTCAATTGATAGGGAAACCTCAGACCGTTTTTTTTCCTCACTTATGCGCACAAAAAAAAGTGCTTCTTTTGAAAAATCAAGAGAACCGAACAAGCGAAGGTAGTTTTTGAACTGGTTCACTTTAAGTAGAAGGCGGAGGTTTGTGTTCTGTGCTCTCCTGCAACGCGTTGGTGTGCGGTGCTCAACCCTTTCGTGGCTTTTTCACGGTATAACGTCAGCTTTTTGATGAAACACTGAAGGGTTAGCTTTCGTTCACTCGAGGAGTAAACAGCTGTGTGTGAGTCTTAGAGACGACAGCGCCTCTACATCCTCCTCCTCTCAACTAGATCCTGGCCAGCTGTATGGCTTCGGCTGATAGCCTGAAAGGCTTCTCAACGTGCCTTTTTATTTTATTTTACTCAGTGGCGTCTATCACAACCTCTCCTTTGTTTCTACGCTCACATACTGCTCCCTTTCTGCCCTATAGCCAACATCACATTGGACACACAAACACAGCGGTGAGCGAGCAGGAAGTCACCTTCACACAAAGGTCATTCCTCCCATTACTGTTATTGTGGAGATGTTAAGATTCATGGCAGAAGTGCACACCTCTCCTTCTCATACAGCCAATGCCATGTTGATATTTTCTTTCTTATTTACACGTGTCATACCTCAGTTGCTCTCAAAAATGTCAAGTGTCGTGTAGTCTGACACACTCTAAGTATAAGGTGCTCTTTTCATGCCCATCCCATCACTTCTGAGAATGTGCAGGCTCTGAAAGTCCACTGGCTTAAAAGTGGGATGCAACTGCGTATTTTTCCCCACTGTGTCTTAATGGACAATTTTCTGCTGGTCCAAGACAGAAAATGTTACAGTGTTTTCCTTCCCAGCAGCCTTCGAGGCCTGGCCACACACTGCTAACTCATTTGATTCCATAAAGGGAATATTAAGCAGACATTTGGTGATATTCCGAATACTGTCCGTGACTTGTAGTACAACAACACAAACTGCTGGATAATTCGGTGTAATTACACTGCCTGTTTTGCAGGAGGCTCCTCGGCTGAACAACACACACTTCTTAAATGTGAACATGGCCAGTAATGGACTTGTCATGAGTGAAGCGTGAAGCTTGGCCTGACAAGAGCACCACAGTAGGGTGCATGTCATGTCCTGCCACATCAGGACATTGTCACCCCCCCCCCCCCCCCCCCACCTCAGACCTCACTGATAGCTGCTGACAGCCACCATGTTTCACCAAGTGTTGACACAGTGAATGCCACCGACACTTATCTGCAGACTCGCCTTTGTCCTGTCCCCATCCAGGGTGTCAAGGCCGTTTCTGGGGGGCGCTTAGTGTCAGATATACAGTATGACCAATTGTTTTTTAACCGAGGGAGAGTCAAAGGACAAAGGGTGGAGGTACAGTAGGGGATACAGCAGCAACACTTTGAGGCGGAAGAGTTATCAGACCAGAGCTGCTGTGATGCACCTATGAGAGGTTTCGCTCTCCAGGGCCTGTTCAAGTTTGTAGGCACGAGTGTCGCCAATACCTCAAGCAGGTGCAGTGATCTGAGGACTTCTTATTTATTTCTTCTTCTGTGATACAATTATTTGCTGACGATGTCACATGTGTGTATGGAGTGTATGTTACTGTATGGTTGATGCTTTGTGACCTGATTGAGCAAACGTGTGAGAGAGAATGATGTGTTACTGTGAAATATCTTTCATTGCATTGTTCATCTGCATTTCTATCAAACACATTTTTTTTGTTCATCACCAAAACATACGTTTATTTGTCCTTTTTTGTTATTATCTTCAATTTGTGCATGTGATTTTATTGCAAATATAGTAGTGTGTGATTAATAAACCTACTGTTTCTTTCCTAACTCAGAGCTCTGTGCTACATTTTGATACTGTTAATACTTGATGTAGTGATGTGTTTTCTATCAGGAAGCAGCTTTTTCGAGGTAGTCACCTGTTACACCAGATAAGGCCTTCCCCCGATAAAGCTCTGATGTGATTGGTTGAAGAGAACTAATCACCTCATTACATTCACATAATGCTGTGCTGCTGCCCACGTGCGGGTGTACTTAGACAATATTGTTAGTTCTCGCGTCACACCAAAGCCCATTTGGGATCTGTTTCTTTCCTCCGACCAAAACAGAGTGAGAACTCTATATGATATCTGTGTGACTCTGCCCACATCAGATCAAGACAATATCTAGATTAGACCAAGTGGAGCTTCGATGTTTTGTATTGCTCCCTCAAAAGGGATTTAACTGTTGTCATGGAGACCTGATGTGAATCAACAAAAGAGGTGACTGATAACATTGACATGACTAATCTCTTTTTCTTATTTCTGCCCTCTGCTCCGTCTTCCTCTGTGTCAATCCCCTTGTATCTGTGGTCCATTTGTTTGAGTAGCTTTAATAGGATATGCTGTTTCTTTCCCTTTTTCTCCCCCTTCACCCCCTCTTTGACTGAACCTCTCATGCTTTCTCACCACATGCATCCCTCCCCTCCTCTTGTAGCAGATAAGTGTGTGCATAGAGAAGTGTCAGCCGTAAAATACATTTCACTGTGTAGCCCTCTCAGATACCAGCAAGATAAAGAAAGACATAAATAAGGCCACATCATATACAAGTTATGGCTTTTACTTTTAAACGTAACAGGGCCATGAATAACCAAGGGAATAACAGAAACTGTGAATCAAGGCTGAGCTCTGCTATAGAGGTTAGAGAAAAACTCTGCTCTCTAAATGCATTTAAGTACTCGTCCTCGGTGTTAGGCATGCTAATGCGATGGGGTGCATAACGACGAGCAGTGCCTGCAGATGGATGCATGTTGGGCTGTGCAGGATGTGGTCTGTGATTAGTTCTTCCTGAGGATCCTGAATTTTGGCTTTCAGTCACCATAGCGACCAGAACACAATACCACCATTTTGAATCTCAGCCCATTGGTTTCTTCCTTTTTTCTATTTTCTCTTCTTCTTTTTCATATCTTATCTTCCCTTTTTTATTTTTCTCTCTTCCTTCCTTTCTTTTGATCTTTCTTTCTTCTGGTCTGTCTTTGTCTGTCTCTCCCTCTCTCTCTTTCTTACTCTTTGCCCTCCCATCCTGCCTCATTCTCACCACTCTCACCGCTTGGGGGAGTGTAGGGAGAGGGTGGTGAGGGGGGGGGGGGGGGCAGTGAGTTGGACAGAGATGGAGGAAAGGCGGGGAGAGAAACAGGGAGAGACAGGGGAGAGTCTGTGAGAGAAAGCGATACAAAGTGAGGGGAAGGCGAGAAGCTACACGGTACAAGGGGGGAGCAGGAGTGAAAATGAGAGAGAGTTTCTTGTCTTGTCTCTCAGCTCTAGCTAGCCAGCCAGTAATTCAGTCTATTCCTCAAACAGAGGCTTTTTTCTTTGCTCTGCCCTTTTGGATGTGCTTTATCTGGCTGCAGTGTCGCCCCAGCTGGGTATCAAGTACTGGATGGGGGATAAAATAAACAACATCTTCCCAAAACCTAAAACACAAACGGAACTGCCTACAATGCTACGGCAAGACTATGCAAATACATTGCTGGACAGAGATTGGCCTTTGTAAAAAAGGAGGCCCCTGATAGCATTGTGTAATTAGCCGGTGCGTTTTTCCTTTCACTGTCAAGCTAGATTAGCCTTATCCCCGGTTAGGAGATGTGTCAGAGTACCTCTCTCTTTATCCTCCCTGATGGCTTCCTGCGTGTCTGTATTGGAAAGTGTGTCCGCCTCCTGGCAGGCAAAGCCAAATACGGCCCTAATTGTTTGGTTTAGGATAAACAATCTAAACAATCTAGCCACATCACCAGCTGAGATGGCCAATTACTATAATAGAGTTGGGTTGACACAATGACCGGACGTTCATTTCTATCTCAAAGCAGCAGATATGAAATAACATCGCCACAACTTCCACGAGCAGGTAGTAGCAGACTGCATCCAACGGCTGGTATCTGAGAGGCGATCGTCAGCTTGTCTGTTTGTGGCCACCATGCGCTGTATCTGCTGTATCTGAATCTGAGCTGACCCTTGAGTGGACTGGGTGGACCACAATGTGAATGTGTTAATGATGGCCGCTCTTGCAGACATACGAGACACCGGGGCCAAGCCTGTGATGGTCTACATCCACGGAGGGTCCTACATGGAGGGGACGGGCAACATGATCGACGGGAGCGTCCTGGCCAGCTACGGAAATGTCATCGTTATCACTCTCAACTACCGCGTCGGTGTCCTCGGTAAGCATCTTTTCCTGTCTTTTTACTTCAACCTCCTCCTTCAAGGACATTTTTCTGGGCCATCTTTGTAGGGCAGCTAGGTGTGATTAGCACCCTGATTGCCACATGCACTCCGAACAAGGCTGAGGGGAAAACACACAACGCTGCAAACATGGACGGGTTCCTGTGCTTCTTGTTGATGTGGCGCTTGTGTATCAAAATCAAAATAATTGAGAGTTTGGAATGCGGGTTCGTTGTTGTGACTGGGGTTTGGAATAAATTAGGAAATTATTGTAATGAGGTTGAAAAAAATGATGAGATGGGCGTGATGCTGGAGAGATAGAAGAGGGGCAGAGAGTCTGTTAGAGAGAACGAGGGCTTCTCTCTCTGAGTTGCAGTTGGTTGCAGATTGACTCACACAGCTGAATCCTCTTTCAGGATTGTGTGTGTGTGTTTGTGTGAGTGTGCACGTGTGTGAGAGAGAAAAGACTGGAGAGGCAGAGAAAGAGAGAGAGAGAGTGCAAAAGAAAAGAAGAGTGAGCTCCATGGAAACAGCTGCAGCAACACAAAATGGAGTTTGTTAGAACACTACCCAAGCTTTGTAGTGTTTCCATCTATCTCTTTGCCTCCTCACAATTTATTTATTTCTTTCATTGGGGGTGGTTGTGTTCTGAGTACAAACACTTTGGATGCAGGATACAATTTCTCTGAGTGGTTGTCTGCATTGGTGGAGAATATTGCCTCAGATGTGGACGTTCACAGACTGCTTTTAATATAAAGGATATTGCATTGTGTCTATACGTGGTGATATTTCATCTTTATTCAAAAGTTACATATATTGCTTTTGTATTCACTGGTGTGCTAAGAATATTTAAAGCAGCAGGTCGGCAACACTGACTCAAACACACAACCGGGTCCGTGGTCATGTTCCATCTTCCAGGCCTCTTATTTTTTATGTTTTACATTAAATAGATTTCATTTTTCAGACCTCTAAAATATATATGAAATGAAACAATTAAATAGACACCGTTTTCTTTAAAGGGTAAAAAGGCAAAACGAAACAGAGGTACTTTGAGTACACATGCTCATTGGTAGGATCAGTGAATTTATGAAATTGAACTTTTGCGGAATATGGTGATAACAAGAGAAATATTGAATATGACCAGCCTCGTCCTTCAAGGAGCACAGCCTTGCTGCATGTTCAGAGCAAGAGGGTGACTGTGGAGAGGTGCCTCTTTACCCTTCAGGCCATTGAGATGACTGGTGTGGTTGACTCACGCAGGCACGACTTAATTAATCTTGAGACGCTCTTTTTGATGGAGATGAGAGCGCTGCATTCTATCGATTTTGCCATCAGGATCGCTCGCCTTAAATGCGCACGATTTTCCCTGTTTCCCATCACTTTCGAGCAGTATCACTTTGAGCGTGGCAATCAGGCTTCAGGGCGGTAAGGTCGTCCGAGTACCAGCCGGGCGTGCCGCCACGTGCCGCTGCTGCTGTTGGTTTAGCTGAGCACGTAAGCCAAAAACACATCCATGATCATATTTCTTTCATGGCACTTCAATTATGAGTCAGATGTTTCTTCTCTCGTTGCCACATTTCACTAAATGTCATTCTACATGCATGCACACAAACCCCTCCAACCGCCACATGCAAGCGCTCTGGGCATGTGGACATCTGCACACACACACACACGATGGATGCAGTTGTCTCAGACACATGCACGGACAGAGACATATGTGCAGTCCACAAAGGGGCTCCCTTGGTTAACCTCCCCAGCAGCCATTCTGAGAAATGAGCAAAGAAGTGATGCATGTAGCTGAACGATAATGTCCATCGCTGAAGCATGGCCCGATAATCTCCCCATGGTACGGCTTTAAACTGTTATTACAGACACACTCGTATAAACCAAATAAAACCAAGGCCAGAGAGACATCTCACCATGATGGGCCAATTAACCCAAAGCTGTCTGAAGACTTTCGCTGCTAAACTGTGAATTGCAATGAGCGGAACATGAAGACGTGTAATTACACGTCTTCATTTTATTTTTGTTTGCAGTTTCTTATTGAACCCCCACTGCCGCTAACAGTTTCGCCGTTAATCTAGTCTAGACATGCGTTAAGTGGAGTAGATTAGTGGTTTGTGTTCGACACTTGCATTAGCCACTGCACAGTGTATCGTTGGGTCATCTGACAGCTAGAAGAGAGCAAATACTCCACTTCTTCTTCTTCTGAAGGACTGTGCAGCAGGGCTCCCTTCATTTGTGTATTAGAAGAAAAGGAAAGTCAGGGCTTTAGATTCCACACTGGGTGACACGGTCTCGTGTAGAAATGCTGAATAAATAAATGAATATTAATGAAAAAATGGACGCCCTTTTAATTAGGCTGCTTAAAGGGATGAGGGAATAATGAAGGCTGAGAGAATTAGACAAGATAATGAGTTTAAAGTGAAAACAGACAAGGCAACGAAGTACGCTTTCTGACACTAATATACCTCTCCCACAGTCCCTGGGCAATCTGAATACGGCATTAATAATGCAGTAAATACCGTAGTTGGAAATGAACACACAATAATCTGAATAATAATTAATTTCTCAGAAACAATAGGCCCAGTTATGTAACAACGTCCTTGACTACACAACGGATATGAAAGCATTCGTTAATACAAAGAACAAAGATATTCTCACCAGCAACAAATTGGACCAAAACAAAAAAAGGTCACTGATAAATGATTTATTTATCTGTCGCATTAGCGGGAATTTGACATTTTTGCAGCAACACTATTGCTGGCTCAGCAGGGCTTTTCAACATATCCAATAGCCAGGTCGCAGTGGATCTCATCTCTGATTTTGGTTTTCCCTGACACGTGTATGGTGGCTTTACCACGTACAGTGAAACTAACCCACCAGCAGAGAGGAAAAAAAATGCGAGGAGACGGGAGAAATACTGTGGAAAGCAGAGGTAACGTAGTGGAGTGAAACTGTATTCTAAGACTCTCGGCCACTCACAGTTCCAATTAGAGACGAGTCCACTAAGATCCCAGTGCTGTTTTATCTCCCCCCGTAGCGTGTAGCCCTACGCTGCTGTACTGGTAATTATTGCTTCAAAGGATGGACCCCCCAATCCTCCCCAGGCCCCATTTGGAAACTTTCATATGTGAACCTTTCACTACTTAGATGAATGAGACTTGATATCATGTTTAATATTTTACTACTATTAACCCACCGCAGTGTGATTGTCTCTCTTGACGCGGTCCTGTTAGGACTCGTCACACTACCAAAGAGAAACAGCGTTTGGGGTTTTCTGCTCATTGATCTGCATGTGTGTGTGTGTGAGAAAGAGAGAGAGAGACATTGTGCGTCCGTCTCAAAGTGTGTGACTTTTCTACCCCCCATGTGTGTGTCTGTGCCGTGTGCATGTGCATGTGTGCGTAGTTGCCGCGCCTCTCTAATGGTGTGTAATGAGTCCCAGTCAGAGGGGAGTATCTTGTATCACTGCTCTTACAAATATAATTACTCACTGGCTCTCCGGAGCTTGTCAATTTCCCAGTCCATTTCGTGGGAAGGGAGGGTAAAGGGGGGGGCGGGGGGGGGGGGGGGATCTTTAATGATGAGTTTTCAAGAGCTTTTAAGATAACAGAGGGCGCATCTCTTATCTAAAAACTCAAGGTGAGATTTTTTTCCCGCTAGAAGAGGAGAATGATCAAGTACAGTTTGCACTTGTGGAGAGTTTCTGCCCTCGACCTTTGATGTCTATCTCCCATATCTGTTTGACCGTAGCCATTTTATGGCGGCACCATCGCGCAGCCGTGGACTGTCCCCCCAAGAGTTTCTCGGTTTTAGATCCAATCAAAAATAACCACAGCCTACTCTCCGGGTGTATGTGGATGCAACGCTGAAACAGCCGCCCAGGTGTTGTAGCATTGATTTGTTCAGTTGCCAGAGTAATTCTGTGTGTGTGTGGTGAGTGACTCTGACTTTCTTTCCTGTTTCCTCTCCCAAACTAAAGATGGGGACTGTTGGTAATTCAGCCTGGGATTTGGGGAGGAGCAGAGGATGTGCTTGGCTATGTGTGAGCAGTATTGCCGAGCAAAAGATAGACTTTCCGACTAGTTTGTAGTTGTTTTTCACTTACTGAAGAATTGCTGCGAGGTCCACTGAGAGCTGAAGAGCGTTGTGTGCTCACGGCCTCCTGACCCAAATGCTGCAATCTGCTGGATGGTGGTTAGCTAGTAATAGTACAGGAGGACTCCATGTCTGAAGTTTGGAACCATTGGCCCCATTTATACATGCCACTTTCATCTGTCTTACCCGGATTAAGTCCAAATGTTCCATTTACACTTAGCCACACACAGCACATCCGTCTCGGTTGGCCAGATCTCGTTGCACTCCTGTGTTTTTTCCAAGCAACGGGCAATTCAGGATTTTCCCTCCTCCAGTGCATAAGGAGATGTAATGCACCTGAAATTCCTAAAATGCCAGAAAAGGAATAACGTGCTCTTTAGAAGTTCAAACCACACCCTTTTGAATGTAGGAGGTCTTCACATTTAGTCGACAAAACACGCGGAATAAGTGAAGAGGTTGTTGTGGTGTATTCTTCTCTAATGCAAAATGCTCCTAGCCCCACAATGTTAGTGTGTCATTAGATTCATAAAAATGAGCCTGGATGCTTTTTAATTTCTACTACAAGATAAAATGCAGTATATATTTTGTTTGGGTTGCTCTAATATGTCACGTTGGATGTCTCGGTTATCCCAAAAAAGTGTCCCGTGAGTTACTGCGAATAAAGTTCAGCATGACAACCTCCCGTGTAGTTTGGGTGAATCCACTTAAAATAAAGAGGCTCCCCGGGTAAGTGTTCCCAATCACAGTCTTTTCCGCTATCATCTGATATATGAGCTTGGCGCCGAGCAGAGGAATTCTCAAACAGTAGGTGGAAGAAAAAAGCAAAGGCAGAGTGAGTTCTCTTTGTCTTCTCTTACCAGGAAGAGAGCTGAGATGGATATTTACTTGTTCTCATTGC